GATAAACTATGGTTCAGGTCTTATAATTCATTTTTGAAATTTCAGAGCCAACAACTATAAGGTGAGCATATTGTACTGTAAGGGGTAACGTCCTCCTCAAAGCAATGTAGACAAATGTTGATTCATCAAAGATTATAGAACATCAAAACCACCATTTTGCATCAGCTTTCCTTGCCATGATTATCATAGTCAGGCTTCAATTGAGAAGCCTTGCACATCTCTTACATGCACCGATGCAGTCTTACATGCACTGATGCACGTGTTGTAGGTTTTTATTTTTTTGTTGGTGGGTTTTTTTTGGGTTGGGGCGCCCCCTGGCAGGGGGGGGGGGCCTTGAATGTTTGGAATTTGTTTTCGTACCAGTAATATTTACAATTTATTATCTACATTTCAGGTTATAGCCGCCTATGTCGTGCTTCTAAATAGGTTGATGGAGACGCGTCCCAACTATGCAAAGGACATACACGTATGCAGTCCATGGGTAACCGTAAGTAGAAATCCAATCCGAGACTATGTTGTAAGTTTCATAAGCTATATTCATATGTTAATCTGAACTTTCTTTGTTTTCTTAGAGATGCATCAATGAGAATAACCCGTCGAGTGTGGATCGAATGTTTAAGCCAATAACGACTACTCGCTTCCAAGAACTTGATAAGATTATTTTTCCACTCCTAACTTCATTTCATTGGCATTTGTTGGTATTCTCTGTAAAGGATAGAAGATTTCTTCATTATTCTTCTCTACGTGGATATATGTCTGATGCTAGTGAATTTAGAGTGAAGCTTATTTCTACCATTCCCGATGTTTGGTATTTAGACATTACTACTTGTCAGGAGGTAGAAAGTGTTGATGTACCTCAACAACGGGGGTTAGTGTATTCGACTTATTCATCTGTTGTTTTTTCATATGTGCTAATGCATAGATACTGTTATATTGATATTGCAAACATTTGAACTTGCAGTAGCTTGGATTGCGGGGTGTTCTTGATGGCATATATGTTTAGCCTCGTTTCCGGTCAAACTATTTCAATTGACCAAAAGGATTGTGCGAGACATAGAGCTCGTATCGTTGCTCTATTTCTATCTGAAGGTATATTTTCTATAATTGTAATGTTCATTGAACCGTTTTTAAACTCAATCTATTGTTCTTTTGATCAATCATATATATTTTGCTTTTAGGAAATCAGCGTGATCCTCAAGACCAATTCCCCGAATGCTAGATGCCAATTATCATATCAAGCATTTTTTGTGTACATATATATGTTTGGAAAGTTATTTGTAAAGTGATTTGTCTGAAACCTATGGGACTGTTGATGGGATTGGTTATGTAAAGTCATTTGTAAAATCATTTTGTGCAATCAGCTACTGTGGTTATGTAAAGTCATTTGAAAAGAACATATATATGTTTGGAAAGTTTTGATGTATAGTGATTTGTATGAAACCTATGAGACTGTTGTTGGGATTAGTTATGTAAAGTCATTTGTAAAGTCATTTTGTGTACTAAACCACAATGGTTAAATTATAGGTTATGTAAAGTTTTGTATGCTTTTACGTCATTGAAATTGATGGTTTATTACAGATATCAGCATGTTACACATAACCATAACACAACAAAAGGATGCAAAGGACATTCACACATAATTAATGGAAGCTTTCCACACTTCACTCTCTCTAGTTGCATCAGAATTGCAGCAACATATATAGAGTTCTCCTTTCAAACGTAAACACCAAAAACAGACACATGTTGATCCCCTAAAGAGATCAACACTACCACTATAGGCTCTCATTCACAAGCTTTATAATTGAGCAACACTAACACGTTATATTGTAAGTATAGCACATTATATCATAAGTGTAGCACGTTATATCATAAGTATAGCACGTTACATATAAGTATAGCATGTTATACTGTAAGTATAGCACGTTAACCTGTAAGTATAGCATGTTAACCTGTAAGTATAGCACGTTAACCTGTAAGTATAGCACGTTATACTGTAAGTATAGCACGTTATGTCATAAGTATAGCACGTTATACTGTAAGTATAGCATGTTAACCTGTAAGTATAGCACGTTATCTTATAAGTATAGCACATTATGTCATAAGTATAACACGTTATACTGTAAGTATAACACGTTATACTGTAAGTATAACATGTTAACATGTAAGTATAGCACATTATCTTATAAGTATAGCACATTATGTTGTAAGTATAGCATATTATATCATAAGTATAGCACATTATTTCATGAGTATAGCACGTTACATCATAAGTATAGCACGTTAACCTGTAAGTATAGCACGTTAACATGTAAGTATAGCACGTTACATCATAAGTATAGCACGTTAACCTGTAAGTATAGCACGTTATACTATAAGTATAGCACGTTATACTGTAAGTATAGCACGTTAACTTGTAAGTATAGCATGTTATGTCATAAGTATAGCACATTACGTTGTAAGTATAGCACATTACGTTGTAAGTATAGCACATTATCTTATAAGTATAGCACATTACGTTGTAAGTATAGCACAGTATATCATAAGTATAGCACATTATTTCATAAGTATAGCACGTTACATCATAAGTATAGCACGTTAACATGTAAGTATAGCACGTTAACTTGTAAGTATAGCATGTTATGTCATAAGTATAGCACATTACGTTGTAAGTATAGCACATTACGTTGTAAGTATAGCACATTATCTTATAAGTATAGCACATTACGTTGTAAGTATAGCACAGTATATCATAAGTATAGCACATTATTTCATAAGTATAGCACGTTACATCATAAGTATAGCACGTTAACATGTAAGTATAGCACGTTAACATGTAAGTATAACATGTTATACTGTAAGTATAACACGTTAACCTGTAAGTATAGCATGTTATACTGTAAGTATAGCACGTTAACCTGTAAGTATAGCACGTTATAGTGTAAGTATAGCACGTTATACTATAAGTATAGCACGTTAACCTGTAAGTATAGCATGTTTATACTGTAAGTATAGCACGTTAACCTGTAAGTATAGCATGTTATGTCATAAGTATAGCACGTTAACCTGTAAGTATAGCACGTTATCTTATAAGTATAGCACATTATGTTGTAAGTATAGCACATTATATCATAAGTATAGCACGTTATTTCATAAGTATAGCACGTTACATCATAAGTATAGCACGTTAACCTGTAAGTATAGCACGTTAACATATAAGTATAGCATGTTATACTGTAAGTATAGCACGTTAACCTGTAAGTATAGCACGTTATAGTGTAAGTATAGCACGTTATACTGTAAGTATAACACGTTAACCTGTAAGTATAGCACGTTACATCATAAGTATAGCACGTTAACCTGTAAGTATAGCATGTTATGTCATAAGTATAGCACGTTAACCTGTAAGTATAGCACGTTATCTTATAAGTATAGCACATTATGTTGTAAGTATAGCACATTATATCATAAGTATAGCACATTATTTCATAAGTATAGCACGTTACATTGTAAGTATAGCACGTTAACCTGTAAGTATAGCACGTTATACTGTAAGTATAGCACGTTAACCTGTAAGTATAGCATGTTAACCTGCAAGTATAGCACGTTATCTTATAAGTATAGCACATTATATTGTAATGATGGCACGTTATTTTGTAAGTATAGTATCCTATATTCAAAATTATGATAACAAACACAAATCCTACATCCAAAAGTATAGCATGTTTTTCATTGATATCATAAGTATAGCACATTTTACATCCAAATGTATCCACATGTATAACATGTCTTACATGACAAACGTATGTCTTACATGACAAACGTATAGCACCCAAAAGAATGTATCCACATGTATAACATGTCTTACATGACAAAAGTATAGCACCCAAAAGTATATCATGTTAACCTGTCCAAAAGTATAGCATGTCTTCTATCCAAAAGTATAGCGTAGAATATATCTAGTCCGCAATAGGTTGTCTACATGTTCTACGGTTGTGACCATACTGTTGGCATCTACTACATTTTAACTCTTTGCCCGGATTCAATCCCGAAGGAATGCGCTTTGTCCTTGGTCTTCCACGAAGAATTGATGTTGTTGGTGGCCGAATCACCATATTTTCATCATCTATACATGGCTTGTCATCGTCAGGAATTGGGTATATCGGAAAGGAGTAGCATTTGCGGTATGTCTCCACACTAAAGTAGTGGGAAATATAGGAGTAAAGGGTGTCCATATTCTGTCGAATAACCGTCGCAGCATGTTTGCAAGGTAGCCCGACAACTTGCCATTCACGACAAGCGCATGTGCGTTCATTCAAGTTTACTTCAACGGTGGGGAAATCATACACCTCGTACCTTCCTGTAGTAGAAGGAATTGCAGAAAGACAACGTGATTGCTCATTGATATGAATAAGGTGTTCTTCCACAGTAGGAACAAATGATGTGGTCCACTTGTGGGATGCCTCCCGCCTTTCAAAACCCATCCTCATCATTTTCTTGCGAATATTATCAATTGTTTGGGTAATTGGCAAATAACGAGCTTCTTTGATCTAAGAATTAAATGACTCCGCTACGTTTGATGTCAACCATCCATATCTACATGCATGTCAATAAATAGTAAGTATAGCAGGAACATATATCTCAAAAATTTGCATTTAAAATTCTGCATAAATTTAAATTTCAACCTCTTCCCAGGAAAATAACAATTAGCCCAATTTTCTGGACTCATCCTCAACATTTCATAATAGGCGATCTCTGATTTGTTCCGTAGCTCGTTGCATTCATTGTTATAGGCACGAGAAGTGTATGCATAAGCGGCCCTCTTCATAATTTGCACACATTCATCTCGTAAAGGTGGTATAATGCCTTTTTTCGATAAGTTATTCTTAAAATTAGCCAAAAGATGACGAATACAATAAGAGTGATGTGACCATGGAAAGCATTTCTTCACGGAATTCTGAAGTCCTTTGTCCCTATCAGAGATTAACACCAGTTCATCATCTGGAGTATATGGATCTTCATCATTGAAGAGAATGTCTCGAATGCATTCCAGAAACCATTCCCAATTACTCTCATTCTCCGTCCCGCATATGCAAATTGCTACGGGAAACATACCACCATCTCCATTTAGAGCAGTTGCGGCAAGTAAGGTTCCTTTATACCTAAAAAAGAAAAGAACAATCATGAAACAAAGTATAAAATATATGAAGTAGTACATTAATGCAAGTTTTTATTAGATTGAACTCTAACATACCTATCAAAAAGATGTGTACCATCCAAGAACAACATTGGTCTACATCCCTCCATAAACCCCTTCCAACAACCATAATAAGACACAAATACTCGTGTAAATCTTCCGTCTTCATGCTCTAAGTGAACAATTGATCCCGGATTGGTTTCTATAACTTTATCCTTATACCATCGGAGTTGGTCATATGAAAATTTAGTATCACCATACAATTCACGTTGAGCTAGCTCTTTTCCCACCAAATTCTATGATAAGGGATGTCCAAACCAAATTCCATTTTAAGCTTCTTTTGGAAATCAATTGGGCGATAAGTGGGTTGTTCCTTCAATATGGTCTTGAGCTGATTAGCATTCCACTTACGAGATGCCCGTTGATATCCTTCCTTTCCTATGCCTCCTCCCAAGCAACTATGAGAACTACATATTTTTTTCACATAGAATCGATCACTATCTCTACGACGGGTGCAATGAACCATCCATTCGCAGTTTGCGGCCTTGCATTTTGCTGTCACCCTTTTGCGTTCATTTTTTACAAATTCAAAGTTAAATCCTCGTGCAATAGAGTAATTACTTAAACTCCGCCGACAATGTTCAACATCATCAAATTCTTGACCAACACTTCTAATAGCATTGTGCCATGCAATAGGAATCATATTAGAGCTCTCAACTTCCCGCGACATATTTTGTGAATACGATGGATTTTGTGAATGAGAAACATGATCATCACTAGAGGGGATATACGGATTACTGCATAGAAAATTGTACAAGAGTTAAGAAAGTGATAATGTTAAAAGTACGAAACTATATCAAAAGTGTAAATTACCTTATATGGACATCGTTAGCTTGTATGCCAAATAATATGTCTCGATTCATCTCAGCGTTCATGACAACAACATTCTCCTTGCAACTTCGATGTACATTGACCATTATCGAGACATCAACATCATCACATACACGAACATATATTTCTTGCGTGTGGGGTACTTTGTAAGTCAACTGTATCGTGCTTGCACTACAAGCAATTAGGCTTTGCACTGCAACGGCCAAATCTTTGTAATTAACGTGCTATACTTACAGTATAACGTGCTATACTTACAGATTAACGTGCTATACTTACAGGTTAACGTGCTATACTTACAATATAACGTGCTATACTTACAGTATAACATGCTATACTTACAGGTTAACGTGTTATACTTACAATATAACGTGCTATATTTACAGTATAACATGCTATACTTACAGGAGAACATGTTATACTTACGATATAACATGCTATACTTACAGGTTAACGTGCTATACTTACATGATAACGTGCTATACATATGTGATACGTGCTATAACTAATTTTTAACTAGTTTTTATGAATTCATAATAATAATGAAATTAGTGTGAGTAAATTACTGTGAAATAATCATGCACAAAATGATCATAATAAATTGTAAAGTTGGTAGTGGAGTAATTGTCGTGCATAAAACGATCATAATAAATAGTAAAGTTGGCAGTGGAGTAAATTAGTGTGAAATAATCATGTGAAATAATGGGTGGTTAATTACAAAACGTCATTTAACTAACATTTAACTAACATATCAAATACTGTAAGTATAGCACGTTATCATGTAACTAATAATACTTGGGTTTAAAGATAAAGCTAGGTTAACGTGCTATACATACAAATTAATGTGCTATACTTATGATATAACGTGCTATACTTACAATATAATGTGCTATACTTACAGGTTAACGTGCTATACTTACATGATAACGTGCTATACTTGCATGATAACGTGCTATACTTACAGGTTAACGTGCTATACTTACATGATAACGTGCTATACTTACACGAGAACATGCTATACTTACGATACAACATGCTATACTTATAGGTTAACATGCTATACTTACATCATAACGTGCTATACGTATGTGATACGTGCTATAACTAATTTTAACTAATTTTTATGAGTTCATAAATAATAATGAGAAATTAGTGTGAAATAATCATGTGAAATAACTAATGTGAAATAATAAAGTGGAATTAATGGGTGGTTAATTACAAAACCTTATTTAACTAACATTTTACCAAATTATATGAACTCATTTAACTAATGTGAAATAATAATATGGAATTAATAATGTGAAGTAACTAATTAATGTGAAATAATCATGTGAAATAATCATGTGAAATAACTAATGTGAAATAATAAAGTGGAATTAATGTGAAATTTTATGAACTCATTTAACTAACATATCAAATACTTGTCATGCATAAAATGATCATAATAATTTGTAAAGTTGGTAGTGGAGTAAATTGAAAAATTTTACCTTTAAATGCTAAGAAAGTTGGTGAGAATTAATTGATGGGTTAGGAGAGAGCTTTCATTTCTAATAATGGAGTGAGAGAATGGGAGATGAAGTGGGAGATGAAGAAGGAGAGAGAGAATGAAGTTGGTGAGAATTAATGGATGAGAGAGATAGAGAAGACAGGAGGAGAGAAGGGGAGTCTTTCCCGCCATTTACAGCAAGAGAGAGGGTGGGAGGGGGGCCCACTTACTGGAAGGTTAAGATTGGAATTTAGGAAAAATATATAGGGGGGACCCACGTATGAGAGGATTGTATTTTAGAATTGGGTTTAAAAACAAATACCAAAAGTGAATTGGGCTTAAAGATACAGTTTAAAATACTTGGGTTTAAAGATAAATGTAGGTAAACAAATGGGCCTAAAGATAAAAACCCCTATTTATAATTGGTATCAGATAAGAAAATGAATGTAAGTGGAAGAAACATTATATCCTCTACTTACAAAATATTATCAAACAAAAAAAAAGAACTTCTGCTACTTCCTACTTATACTTTTTAATTTTAGAAGTAATAAATTTGCTTTACTTCTTACTTTTTATACTTCCTATCAATCAAACAGGCTCTACGCAACGAAAATAGACCAATAACTTTAGAATTATTAGCATCACCAAATGCAAAGGTTTATGTAAAAGATGGTGAAGCCTCTTCCATCTCATTCTCTCTTCCATGTGGGACTAAATAAATGACTTTTGACCATAACGAGTTTGGGTGAATACTAAGTATGTTTTTTCAACTCATCCGTATGAAAATTTTTACAACGAACAATTTACGATAATACTTAAAAAGTTACAAGAACACACCAACTCAAACATAGATACTAGCTACAATCAGAAGGGCGTTCATATACCATTTCAAAGAAATCCAATAAGATTTAAAATATTAGAGTTTACAAATACATGATGACAATTGATGACTTAATCAAACTCGACTTGTCAGAGAAAATTTTCCAACCCCCCCCGGCCCCGCGCGCCGCGTAAATTAGTATAAATTTATGTGTTTGAATTATTAGCATCACCAAATGCAAAGTTTTATGTAAAAGATGGTGAAGCCTTTCCATCTCTCTCTCTCTTCCCATGTGGGACTAAATAAATGACTTTTGACCATAACGAGTTTGGGTGAATACTAAGTATGTTTTTTCAACTCATCCGTATGAAAATTTTTACAACGAACAATTTACGATAATACTTAAAAAGTTACAAGAACACACCAACTCCACTCCAACATAGATACTAGCTACAATCATAAGGGCGCTCATATACCATTTCAAAGAAATCCAATAGGAATTAGAATATTAGAGTTTACAAATACATGACGACAGTTGATGACTTAATCAAACTCGACCCATCAGATAAAATTTTCCCAAAAAACCCCAAAATTAGTATGGATTTGTGTATGTAACTCATACAATATCCATAAATTTGCAGGGAGCAATTAATTACGTAATAATAGTTCACCATTTTCTATGATGAATTCTATTCACATTTCCCTTCTGAACAAATTTCGACGTTCTAGTCACCTTAATATTATGGTGCAGTGCAGTCGAATGACTACTATGTTTCCTTTTATCTCTTCTGTCCAGATACACCGAGCTCTGGTTAATCCCTACTCGTATTCTATGGCTCCTCGCCCTCAAAGATCTCTCCAAATGTATTCTTCTCCGTTCTTTAGCCCTATGAGAAAGTGATCTTCTGAATTTCATTGATCTGGGATTATGTCGATATGATACACTCTCCTCCTCTAAATAATCTTCACTCGAGCTTGAGAGGTAATCTTCGATATCTCTCATTCTATCCCGGTGAACTCTTTTTACATTCTTTATTTTGTACCATAGAAACATACATCCATGTTCACATGAAGAGAAGCATGATGTGAAACAAGCCCATGTCATTTTGCATATACTCCTCCCAATACAGTAACATATGCCAATCTTGTGTAGGAGGTATAAGAACAGTAAAACTGCATGTAGGAGGAAAAATCTTGAGTCAGGACAAAATACTAACAAGCTGAAACTTATGGTTTATGTGTGCATACCGATATAGAGGAGGGCTAAAACAGCGGCGAGCTTTAAAAGATTGGCAATGCAGAAATTTTCAACATAGCAAATTATATCCCACGTTGAACCACAAACAGAGCTGACAGATGAACAGATAAAATAAAGATTTAGATGATAAAGAGAAAGAAAGTTATCTATTTATTTATAATATTGACTAATAATTTTGATGTTAGAAATATTTAGCCTAAGATGTCGATGTTCTCACATTCTTCTCCGGTCTATAATTTATTCATCCAATAATTTGGTTTCTTTATAGATCAAAATGTACATCATCCAGTTATAGGCTGTGAATCTAAGATAAAAAACTTATCAAAAAAATGTATTGGAAAAGATGCATGATACCTGCAAGACTTGCCAGAGAGAAAATTCAAAGGAGCTCCAAATAAGTTGCCTACAGTTCTGACCAAGCCTGTAACTACTGAACCGATCAAGTTTTCCATCTCACAAAATATTTCATGGCAGTTGCCAGCGAGAAAATAGGGGGTTCCCCCTTTCTTTGTTAATGAAAATGCCTGCATAATTTTAAGAAGAATCATTTTATATTTCAGACTGAAATTCTGTTTGAGGCAAAGATACTTCAAAAAAAAAAAACCCCGAGAATTAGAGGGTATAATATCTGTCATTTGTAAACTTATAAACAAAGGAGTTTATAAGGAATCTGCATGGACATGAGATAATGTGACAGAAAAATTTGACAACTGTTTAAGAAAAAGTTATTCATCCTAGCATAAAACATCCAGGATTAAGTAAAAAAAAAATACAATTCTGTCCTCTTGTCATTTTAACAAATAACACTATCAAGAGAGATTGATCTCCCTTTAATTAAGAAGAAAGGGGGTTGAGAGAAAAACTAAAATTTATTCTTATGCACATTTATATTCCGATTTTCATCTTTAAATTTTCTAAGGATTGGTATTGTCTTATACATGAAGCATTCTCGGCTTTATAAATTTATGTTGTTTATTATAGAAGAAAAAACTAAGCAAAATATTGCAGAGAACTGTAAAATTATGAAATAAATTTAAGCTATTTATTATATAAGCAAAACTATAGGAAAAAAAAACCAAGCAAAATATAGCAGAGAACTGTGAAATTATGAAATAAATTTATGCCATTTTTTATAGAAGCAAAATTATTGAAAAAAACCGAGCAAAAATATTGCAGAAAACTGAAAAATTATGAAATGGGAAGGTTAGATGAGGAAACTTACAGGCTACTACTCTGTTGATTGAATTTTCTCTCGTCTCTCTATTTCGTTTCGTTCCTGCAAAGGGATTGGAAAAGGAAAATTTTAAGTTAAAATGAAACTAAAACTAAAATAAATAACTACCTCTACCCCAGCCATTGGGGCCATTGGACCCTATCAATAATGAGGCCATTGGACCCTATCAATAATGACCCACAAGTGCGTGCAATAGAAGACCACGGCTTGGCCTCTACACAAAACAACGGAAAAAATAAAAGGCTAAATATCATCAAAGCCCCCTAACTTCCAGAAAAGCGCCCCCAACTTTCAAAATAACAAAAAAGCCCCTTAACTTTAGGGGTTATCAGAAAGACCCCCATTTAGATTTTATCAGAAAGACCCCCATTTAGATTTTATCAGAAAAGCTAATTTTTTCTTTTTTTGGGGGTGGGGGTGGGGTTGTTTTGATAAAATCTCAAAGTCAATATGAGTTTTCTGATAAAATCTGAAAGTTAAAGTGGGGTTTTGTGATAATCCCTATACTTTGGGGGGGTTGGATTTAAGATATTTACGCTTGCTTGTTGTTCAGCGTGCTTCAATAAATATGTGGGTGGATTTTATGGAATTGTGATTATGTCCTTCAAATTTTCAGTATTTCACTCACCAAGAACTCCTCAAGCTCTCCCTCCATACCCTATGAACAATCATTCACATGAATCTTTGCATAGAGACACACTTACAAGAAGAACAACAATCATTCAAATTTTCAATATTTCACAAACCAAGCCGATGCTTAATCAATTTCACTTGTATAAATAGAGTTCAAGCAGATTTGTTGATCATTTTTACAAAGAACTTTCATGCATAGGTCACACAATGAAGGAGGGGATTTCCTGATCATTTAATTGTAACTCCATCATCATCATCATCATCATTATCATTTTTCTTAAAGAATAATTCAGTTCTTGTTGCTCGTTCAGTTTCTTGAGCTTCTAAAAATTCTTGAAGGTTTGAGTTCGTGTATTACCCAACAAATGTTTTGTTTGAAATACTCACTCACAGAAGCTCATATTGACTTCGAGATTTTATCAAAACAACCCCATCCCCCCCCCCCACCCCCACCCCACCCCCAAAAAAGAAAAAATTAGCTGGTTTCAGATAAAATCTAAAGGGGGTCTTCCCGATAACAATCAAGGAAATTTCATGCCAATATTAAAGATCAATCCATGTTCACCAAATATAAATTGTCAAAAGTGTCATAAATGACACAGATAAACCTCCAGTTAAGGGGCGGATAGATATTATATAATGTCAGGAGTCAGTAATACTATGATATCAAATTTCTAATGAGTTCAATCTTAACCATGATACAAAATTGTAAATGACATAAAATGTCAGCTACGACGATCATGGAAAACCAGAATACATGCATTAAATCTAACATATAACTAAATCCAGTAATGCACTGAAAAAATAAACTAGAGAAAACATGCTATCAGACAAAACCAAAGCTATGAGAGTTGATGAGAGGGACAGTCATGCTTGACCTTCCGAAACCTTATCCTGTTCAATGAATTGTCAGAATGAATGCCAAGTCTGTCGAAATTAATTAGCAGTATATTAATAAGTATATGTGCAATTATGTGGAAAAGACTAAGAACAGTGGGTCGAGTTGGCTAATCAACCTGCATATATATAAACATGCTAGACCAAAACCTTGGCCATCTTGACCAATTTATAGATCAACGTTATAAACTTCTAACTGATATCTTCCACATAAATTTTCTATGTCCACGAACAAAGTCACAGAAACTTTTCGAAGGAAAAATATAACAAAATTAACAAGTCCAACTACTGATTAATTGGCTCATGACTGACCGATAGCCTGTATTTGTGGCTCAACATATTGTTATGCTTGCTTGAGTTCATCTATCAGAGACCTAAAATATTTACAGCGTCATAGTGTGAGATCATTGATAATACACATTGGTGTAATCGAAGCATACGAGATAAGTATTTAACATATATAAATTGCTATGATAATGTCAGACTCATGTGATAACTATTACTACCCAATGCTTTTAGCATTGTAGGTGAGTGATATTTAGAAACTTGGAAGAAATCATTTGGAGATGATTGTAAGCATGTCAAACATTCAACAACTTCAGCCCAACAACTGAACTAATTAGGAGGAAAGGATACATGATACCTAGACCAACAACCCAAAATTTTAACAAACACCAAGTAATTTCCTCAAGAAACCAAAACAAAAAAAACCAAGAACAAGATCCAACGAAAGTTGAAACTTTGTGCCAAATCCTTTACCAAACGTTGTTGACAATAACTCGTAGTACAATCATCTGCAAGTGGCATGTAAAACAAAGGATACAAATCTTATCCATTGCACCTAAACATTTATCGATTCAATCAACACTAAACTCATGAACCCATCATTGTAATTCATTTTGAATAAAAGATGAGTATGAATGCAATTTCACGGCAGTATGATGTTAGCCCTTAGTCGTATCAGAACAAAGCGCATTAATCATCCATATATTATTTGATGGCGATGAGATTACGCAAATTCAAAAAAGAAATTTTTTTCTAACTGATTAGATTTAAATTGCCTTCCTCCCAAATATGAAATTCTAAAAGGCACATAAATTGAAACACATAACACAATGCAAGGATCTATGTCATTGAAGCAACATAATTATACTACTATCTTAATGCATACCTATGTGTGTATAAATAAAATACAACATAACCCTAGATCACGATCTAAACCCCAGATCAGATCAAGGGTTTCGACGGAAAGGGGAGAGAGAGAAGAAAGGGGCAGACCTAAACCCTAGATCCGATCTAGGGTTTCGACGATAGGGGGAGAGGAGAGGAGGGAGGAGAGGGGGAGGGAGGAGAGAGAGGTTACCTGCGTCGAGAGAGAATTGAGAGTCCGGGTCGGGACTGAGAAATGAGAGAGAGGAGTCCGGTCGGGATTTGTTAAATACCAACGGTCAGCGAGGGATTTGAAATATATTTATTTGGGCTTTCAAATTCTCTTCTCTAAAAAAATAATTTGATTTGAAAGCCTAACTTTAAAGTCTAAACTAAAGATCAGGATTTGAAATACTCACGATTTTAAATCTTGACTCCAAATCTAAGTTTTCAAATGCAGTCTAATAACATTTTGGGTTGGTTTACAATCAGAACCGGTACCTTGTAACTTGCTTAGACTAGAATCGTGAGGCATAGAAATGAAACTATGTTTTTCCAAGCGATAAGTATTTTTTAGACCAAAAGTGTGAAACTTAGGAATAAAATCAATTTCTTCATTGCGCGCAATAAGTGGTTTGGACCAATTATTAGCTTTGTCATCTATTCATATCTCATGTGACATTGTCAAAACCTTCCCCGATTTACAATTGATGAACAACTTCAACTTCTTTCGGGAATTCTTTAATTGGGGCTTTTTTTTTCTTGTGGTTAAAATGGAGGTATATCAGTAACCTAACAAACATTCAAATCCAGTTGCTCTACAATCTTAAAAGTTTATGTATGATTTTAGATTGGTTCAAAAGACGTGTTCTAAATCATAAAGTACAGGGACCTCCATTTCCATGTCATTAAGTATAAATTGGTCATAAATAAAAAAATTGATACCTATTACTTTATTGATGTCTAAAAAAGAACTCAATTTATAATTAAGATGCGGTACAAGCACCAAGTTGAGAAAAAAAACAAAATACAGAGACCAATTTAAGTTTAAGGCCAATACAAGGCTAAATTGGTCTTTCAGCCTAAATTTACTCTTCTATACAAATGAGAAAACTCAAGATTCACTATTCATGCTACAATAACACTATTATTGTAGCAACCAGGAAACCGGGGGTTGCAGAAATTTTTTAAAAAGTTACTGTAGCATACGAGAATACTGTGTTTTGCACGGTGTCCCCGACTAATAAAAAGTAAATCCTCAAACCGGTCGGTAATTCAATAATTTGAGGGGCTGATCTTAAATTGTTAAAGATTCAGGGACTAAATAGAAAACAACCTTTCGCTTTTCCTACCGCGACGAAGCCCGTACCCGCTATTCTACCGTAAACCCCTGCAAGGGCATTGGAGTGGACTGAAACAAGGCTTCAAGATCCGAGGAAAAGAGAGAAACAGAACCCTAGATCGCGAATCTACCGGATCCACTCTCGATCGATCTCGACATCTCTCATCGCCATCGTCTTCGATTCACGATGGCCAGGGTCCGATGGATTCTAGGGTTTCTGGCCCTGATCTGTGCTTCTCTAACCGTTCAAGGATCCGCCAGCGTCCGCCCGATATCTGACGCTCACCGATCCGCTGCTCTCGATCTGTTCGCTTCCGCCGACGGATCGTATGCGAGGTTAGAACTTCGTCGAATCACTGTCATTGGAGCTTCAGCTTCTGATCATTCCTGATTTGTGTCAATATTTTAGATTGGAGAAGGAATCATATAGATAAAGGTTCTCATTGCGCACTAGTGACAGCGTTGTGATTTTCAGTTTAAATTGATCCTAACTAGCTACTTTGTGAATGTTAAATGTCTAAACGTTGTTTTGATTTGAACATTAATTTTAGTCAATTGTGGTGAAATTAATGCAAATTAGCAATCTTTGAGGTCTCATGTGATTTGATATTTTGTTATGTGAAGCTGGGTACTGTTTTGTTTCTGTTGATTGGAGCGCAGAATCATGTAGATGAAGGCCCTCATTGATCACTGTTGATCTAAAGTTGAATTCTTTTTAAGATTTTTATGAAGGGTTTTGGTGTTATGGACTATAAGTTCAGCTAGTGAAGTTTCAGTTTGAATGGATCTTTAACCTGTTACTCTATGATAATGCAGTGTTTAAATTGATTTGATTTGAACATGGGCTTTAGTCAATTGCGATGAAATTGTGCAGATAAGCGATGTTAGAAGGTTGATTTTTTATTGTGTGGTGCAGTTTAGAAGAAACTTATGAGGCACTGAGAACATTTCAGATTCTAGGACTCGAGAAGGTTTCCAAAAGTAGCCTGGCAACATGCCCGCTTGTTGTGGAAATACTCGGTTCGTCTTCTTCTACAACGAAGGATGTATTTCATGCGTTGAGATTGAACAGCATTCTTAGATGTCAGATTGATGCCAAAACCATTAAGGTATCTTTATTAGCTAAGAAAAGAAACTGGTTTTCCCCCAAAATTTTTTATGCTGATATTGAACTACCCATACATATTCTTTTTGTTGAAGGGAATTGTTTCCAAACTTCAATCTGTGGCGAAGAGTGCGGACTCTTTGTTAGACTTATATTACTCTGTGGGAAGCTTGTTACATATCAAGGTAGGGCTGTCTCATTCACATCTACTACTTTATGTCTTTGTCTGTTTCTTTGATTTCTATTTCTATTGATATAGTTACATCCTTCATTGCCTTCTCTTTGATCTTTAATGTGTTCTGTAATTATTTGAAACTTTATAAACATAAAGAACATATTTTCATTTTTCTGATGCAGAATCAAGGTTTTGATGTGTCACTGTCAGATGCCAGTGGTGTTTTCGATTCCATAAAGGTGATAAGCTTTCAACTCCTATGTATTCTTTTTCTTTTTTGCTACTTTTCCATTTAGTGATGAGGTATAACTTAAACCATAATTTCCTCAGGCGCTTAGTCAAAGTGATGGAAGATGGCGATATGATTCTAGCAGTGCTGAATCCAGCACTTATGCTGCTGGTACTGAAATCTTTTACCTTTCTTGGTATATATGTTGAAAATAACTTAACACTAGATGCTACATTTGTCAGTTTATGTCTTTTGTAATTATTGCTTCACTTTGATTGGCTGGAAATCGTCTCATGTTAATGTTGTAATTTCTAAGTACAACTACTGTTGTGCCTGGTCAAACTGATCACTTTTCATGTTTGTACGGTTGCAGGTATAGCACTTGAAACACTTGCAGGAGTGGTCTCCCTGGCAGATCCAGAGGTGGATCAATCAAGGGTAAGACTTACATTACCAATGTTTGTTTTTTAAAGTGTATGATTGCGTTATGATTAGCTTTGAGTACTTATTTAAAAATCAGAATGATCGTTCATAATTTTTACTCCTATTTAAAAATCAAGGAGAATTTCTCTTACTTTTGCTTATAATTACGCTTCGTAGATTAGATGCATTGCTATCCCATTGAAGTTTATTTTGCATAAATGTAAGACTCTTTGGCTTTAGGTTAGCATGGCAATGTGATTCTGTGTTAATCTTTCATGGTCATTTGGAAGTGAAAATTCTTTATTTTACTCAAGCTCCAAGGCTTCTTGCAAAGTTGCAAGCTTGCAACATCTTGCTAATCCATAATACTCTGAAGCATTATCACCAAGAAGGCAATACTTCATCCAAGTTGTGTGAGATAGGAATGCGACATGCGATTGAGTACCAAATTGAGTGATGAATTTTTTTTCATAGGTAAAGAAGATTTCACTGATTATCAAGTGTACAAGGGTAACTTAGGCATTCCTAAGTATAACAAAAGTAGGCTTCTAACAGCAAGAAAAAACATCACAATGTTGCATGAGAGAACAAGATACATAAGCTAGTGTCATTTAAAATCACCAAGTTTGCAGGCCATCAAGTTCTGAATTTTATTGAGTAATCCTGGCGGGGAATTGCTAATGCCTCTAAATTGTCTGAAGTTTCTTTCCTGCTAAATATAGTATATAGTTGCTGCAAGCATAGTTCTTCTATGCCTTGAACCTGGACCTTTTCTTCTCTCTATAGTCTTATGCCAAGGCCGGAATCTAATCGAAGACTTATATGTCTTCCTTGTAGCCTCATATAGGATAGCATTTGATCACATATTTGAGCTGAAAATAAGCATTTAAAGAACAAATGCTCAACAGTTTCATTATGAACCCACAAAGGTTACCATGTGCATCATCTGTTCTCCCCCAAGCTTTAAGTTTATCCTTGGTCATGAGCTTGTTGAGCATAATTTGTCAAATCATGCTTATGTATTAAGTTAAAAGATTTGAGACTGTTCATATCGGTGTAAGTGAAAATGCGCATTTATAGTACTTGATGAAATAAAATAAATTGGGTTAGAGAGATTTGAACCTTGTGAAATTTTGCATATACCTGAAAATTCATAGATATAATGGTATTGGTTTTTCTCCTTTTACATCTGTATAGTTGATAGACTAGTCTCTAGATGTCTAGCAGACTAGCAAATTCGAACACCTTTGTATTGGCTATCCTTGACCTTCCTTTATCTGTAAGGACTTTTGTAGTTCCGCATGCAATGGAGAAAAGTGAAGATGTGAGACATGACATGATAAAGGTGCTGCCTTATGGACAAATCTAAACAGTAGTTACATTCTTTATGTTATTTATCACAGATTTAGGTGTTTAATTATTTCCTTGTGGCTCGACATATTTCCTCAATCATCAAGCGTTTAAATCAAGGTTTTAAATGTCGGATGTCGGGTTCATGTCGGATGGCTGAAATCCATGTCGGATAGCGGAAATCCGGGATATATCAGAGGACATTGACTAAATATCGGTTTTCTATATCGGGTAGTGCGCATATGTATAATATCGTGTCCTAAATATAATCTAAGCATTCATAAATTCAATATAAGCATACTTTATAAATTCTATAGATTAAACATATAAAAAAGTAAATAATATATGGATTTAGGTTCACAAATTCTTTCTATCGGGTTCATAAGAAAACCTTAAACATGAGAACGGGTCAAAAGAGTTTGAGTATTTATCACTAAACCCAAACCCCATAACAAAAAACAGATCTTAAAAAAAGTACCATATCGGTCGATTTTTCAAAGCTAAAAAATAGGCCGATATGCCCGATATAACCCTAATATTTCCGATTTGGCCCTGAAAACCGACATACGAGTTGAAAACGTCCATGTCGTGTCGGTCAAGCCCTCAAACCGATATGTCGGCCGACATGTCGGACATGTCGGGCGACATTTAAAACCTTGGTTTAAATGGTGAGATTTACACCTACACCTCTCTAAATACTTTCTGAAGTAAGTATGGATGTATGCAAACCTCAGGCATTTTAAGGCTTGCCCTGAAAGGTGACAGATGTTTCTGTTGAGCAATCATGAAGGAGAAAAACCATAAGATTCGACTGATGGAATCTATTAAAAAAGGAAAGGAAGTTGATAAGAAAATGCATTATATAGAAAAGTGGAGCAACCAAATAAGATTTTGAAAAAGGTAATCATCATAATTATTCATATCCTCCGTAATCTGCAGTTATTTATGGAGGTTTTGCAAATTGATAGATTGGTATATTCTTGTAGTTTATAATTTTGTTGGCTGATTCCATATATGTAAATGACAGTCATGGTTTATTTTTTCTATGTTCAATTGTTTAAATTGATAGTTGCATGTCAATTAGTTTTGACATTTCTTCACATTCTATGTATGCATGCTTCTTATTCTAATGCTCTTTATATTCCATATACTTTAGCCTTTTGATTTACAGTATGTTATATATTAATACTTGTTTACCTCAGTAAATCCTTAGTTTTACTTTGAAAACACTATTCCCGTATACACTTGCCATAGCTCTCTTTACCCTCTAAATCTTTCTCACATTTCTTGGCAGATTGGGGTTGTAAAGAAAGATATTCTAAAGCTGTTTGATAGCGTTAAAGGCTATGGTATGTATACCAGTTCTTTGGATGCTTATGCTCTTCTTAGTTTCTTAATCATTTGTGCGTCTTCTTGTCTATTCTTTTTCCCCTTATTTCTCTGTCAAAATTAACTTGGAGTGGTACTCTTATCTTTTGGACAATGTTACATTAGTGTCATGCTATTTCTACTACATGTAAATTGTAACAGTCATTTTATCTCAGGGAATGTAACCTTTTAGCTCTTTAAGTTAACTGTATCATGCTGATCATCTGGTTTTTAAGTGTGCTTCTGCAATGTGAGAGTTTTAATTCAATGCTCTTTGTTGAAATCCTTCGATCTTTATGGTTTGCTTATGAGCTGAAAGATGATTCGTTCTAAAGGTGTCAATCATTCATATCTTTTACACAAGACATGCAAATAAGAACCTTTCGTTAGTTAATTTTTTTTGCATATAATTGGTGGTTACAGCTAATTTATTTTTTACATTTTTGGTGATTTACTGTCATACAGCAACTTTTGGTCTCTCTGTCACTGAGTTTTAGATGTCTTGTTAACTTAATTGCGAGAAGTTGTTTGCTCAGTTCCTTTGTTTAACAGATTAATATTTATGCTTACTTGCATTTATCCAGATTTGTTAATTCTAATTGTTTATTTTACTAGTATAATGCACGTTCTTTGCATGTGGACATGTTGTTGTATTTAATATTATATCATTTAATAAATTATATATAACCATTAAAAATTATTTTATTGCACTATGATTAAAAAAATTTAACTTATACTAATATTAGTATTTATACTATTATTAACATACGTTTAATAGTTATTTAAAATTTTCTATTATTATATTATTAAACAGTTTATTTAGGAGTATAATTATTAAATAATAATGTAATCATTAAACTACACTATTGATAAAATTAAACCATTTAAATTATTAAATATTTATGTCATGTACATATTTTATTACAATATCTATTAAATAATGGCAATAATTTTTAATATTATATGAATTTATGTTGTAAAGAATATTACCTTGTTCGATAGTTAATATCGTCTTAGTAATAAAAAACTGGATGGGATAAATTAAAAATACTATTATTTAGAAAAAGTAATTTATATAAAAATATTGGATCCTTGAAATATATGAGACATTTACTTTCCAACAAAAAGTGGATGACTCATAAATTTCAAAGATCCAATATTTTATTGCACTATGTTCATAATGTCCAAATTTTATGTCTAAGACGATATTATAATATCGTAAAGGGTAATAATCGTTATAATATAAAAAATTCTATTTATACTATTATTAATAATTATAATTATGTACAATATTTTATTAAATAAATAATTTTACTATTTCATTACAATTAATAATTATTTTATAATAAATTATAATATATTTATTAATTTTATTATCATTATAAATTATTAGTATATTCTAGCAAGTGGCCAAATATTTTGAAGAAAAGAAGAGAAAAGTATGTCTCATAAATTTCAAGGATCCAAATTTTTTATATAAATTAATTTTCTAAAATAAAAGTATTTTTAACTTATAACATCCAAATTTTAATTACTAAGATGATATTAATTATCGAACAAGGTAATATTCTTTACAACATAAAGAAATAACCCCTATTTATACTATTATTAATAATTATAATTATGTGCAATAATTTATTAAATGAATGACTTTTACTATTTTATATAATTAATAATTCTTTATAATAAATTATCATATATTCATGAATTTTGTTATCATTATAAATTATTGAATGACCAAATAATTTAAGAAAATGAAAAGGTGCATAGTTAATGAGAGGTTATGGATCGTTAGTTTTATAATTAATGGTATCATTTTGAGTTATAAAAAATTAAGAGGGTAAAAAAGGAAATCAAAAGTTTATGGGTATTCTCTTTTATAAGTAGTATAGGTATATAGATTTTTTGATCCTTGATAAATATGATACAATCTTCTTTCCTGTCTCCGCTCTATGTTCGATATTATATATTTCGTGTATTTATTTATATTTATTGTGATCCCTTGGCTCAATTCAGATGATGGTGTCATATACTTTGAAGAGAAACATGTTGATACTAACGAGTACAAGGGGCCACTAGCAACTACGGCTTCAGTAGTACGTGGTATCACTACTTTTGTTAAAGTTGATTCTGGAAAGCTAACTGTAAGTTATACCGAGTCATAAACACTGTATGTTTTCCACATGTTTGTGTGTTATTGGCTTGTTATATTGACTCTCAGAAGGTGATTGCAGATTCCAGGGGATAAAATGCTAGGTTTGGCTAAATTCTTTCTCAGCTTAGGAATTCCTGGGAGCAACACTGATTTATTTGACCAAATAGACTCGTTATCTTGCTTGGAAAACAAGAGGCAAGTAACTATACTCTACATCCATTCCTGTAATTATGTCTTTCCCTGAGAGGTGCACCATCTACTGTCACATGGATGTGTTGATCTTTATATGCTGTATCTTACTTCAGAACTTCGTACTCAAAATTCAAATTGAATAGGGACTGTGGGTGTGGGTGACAGTGGTTTCATTAATTAAATTTCTTTAAGTTTGTTGATTGCTTTCCTTTTCTACCCTTTTTCTGATTTTGCTGGTGAAGTGGTGGGTTGTGGCTTGGAGGTCAGGATGGTGTCATGCTGTTGGAATATGATGAAGCAAACTTGTTGGTGATTTATGATAGGACTTACTGGGGCCAGAAGTCTGAACAGGATTTTTTTTTTTGAAATTAACAAGAGCACTTTGAATTGTAGTTTAAGAATGATAGTTTGCCCATTCTCATTGTGAACAATGTCTTTTGGACATCCGACTCCAATGACCTCATCTGTAGCTTTATATTCCATTGTAGTTTTATTGATTTCATAACTCACATGTTGACTATGCTAATCATGTGGGATACCTTATAGTTTGTTATATTTTTCTCTTGCTGCCCCTCGATTATTTCTGCTGCCTTTTCTTTGCTTCTCCCTTTTTGTTTCAGCTGCCTTTTCATTTTAATTAATTTGGAACATTCATAATCTTGTTATTAACTCTTTTTCATGTAATCAGTTTTTATTTTTCCTCTTCCCTTACACAGGGTGGCTGTTCCGCTTATTCTCTCACTTCCATCTACTGTACTTTCATTAACTTCAAGGGACCAGCTAAAGGTATCCTCCAAGTTGCGCTGATTTTCATTGTTATAAAATAATCTAAGCTGAGTTTTGCTAATGATATAGGATGCTTTAGATTTAGACAATTTGTGAAAGTAGGCTGTTGAAGTGATTATGGATGAATCTAGGATCAGTTAGGGAGTATATGAACAGATTCATAATTTTACCGGTATGTACGTGACCCATAGGTTGCAATGCAAATGGGTTTTGGTAATAAGTGATCTTACAATTTCAAGTGGGTCTTGGTAATGGGTGATCTCACAATTTCTATGTTGTCAATCCTATTGCTCTTGTAACAAGAGGTTGCTTTGATGTTTTCTTTAGGCTTTTTATCTTGGTAATCCACACTTGTTTTATTGTCTCTGGCATATCGGTTCATTGATATGAAGGTTGCTTAGTTCTTGTGGCGGAAGAGTAGATTTGTCCCTTTTGAAGAATTGAGCTATGTCCTAAAAGCCACAGTGATTAGGGCGGACTTAGTTATCACAAAATTTTGATTCTCTATCTGTGGAGTTATAGTCCAAACTGTCCAGTTATGAAATGTTTTCTTTTCTAATTAACTAACTAAGCAACGACCAATTGAGAAATTTTGATTTGAGTTCATCTTTTATTTGAGAGTGCCATCTTTCTTTCCCAGGTTGAGGTGACTACAGTTTTTGGCTCTCCTGCACCCCCGCTAACAGTAAATCTGGTAGAAGCTATCGGTCCAGACTCGAGGAACAGCCCTACATTGGAGAACCAGGTAAATTATGCACTGAATCGATGATTGATACCTCTGTTCGATTTCTTGGCCATTTCCTTTTGCTGCTTCTTCAACCACAAGCCAATATCAGAAAATATTAACTTTTTTTTGGTGTGTTTTACAGGTGCTCCATTTTGACCAAGAAAATAATATCCATTACTTGGATATCCAACCACTGAAACTGGATGTTGGAAAATATGCATTAGCTTTTGAGGTGGTCTAATGACTTCATTTTGTTCATAAATTCTGTCTGCTGATCTGTGTGGTAGATTATTAATGAGGTGGCATATTACATGCATATGCAGATTTCGCTTCAGGATTCAGATCTTGTAAACAGTTATGCTACTGGAGGACGAACAAAAGCATCTGTATTTCTAACAGGAACTGTCAAAATTGACAAGGCAGAAATAGCGATTGTGAATAGTGATTTTGGAAGCTCTGAAGCCACACAAAAGTAAGACACATTGTTCTTATCCACAATGGGAGTTATGGTTTGCTTTATAATGGTAAATTAAAACAGAGTGAGGAGTATAAACCATAGATATTACGGACTGCCATTGAAAAATTGGTATATTTCCTTTTTTATTTTAGTATCTAAATGTGGAATCAATATTCTAATTCAAGCGTTTCATCATTTAAGGATATGAGGTGAAAGAGTATCACATATCGGCATGTGGGATTTCTTTCATAGATAATGTTGTATGCATTATTTTAAGATCAAGAATCATAGTTTTTATGATTTTATGGAGCAGCTCTGCATGGGCATGCCTAACTTAATCCAGAAGAGTAAGTCAATCCTATATCTTAGGATCATTGATTCATTCTCATAAATATTCTCCTTGAAATCTAACCTGCAGCTATTTTTGTTTAAATTGAACTTTCTTTAGAGTCCAAACTGTTCAATTTCCTTTCATACTATGCCTACCACGATGTCTTACATATTCTAATCTTGTCTATTTTTTCCTTTTGAGGATAAGATTTCCCATTTTTTGACCGTTGGGACTGTTCAATTTCCTTTGATACTATGCCGACCACGATGTCTTACATATTCTAATGTTGTCACTTTTTTCCTTTTGAGGATAAGATCTCCCATTTTATGACAGATGGTTCCCTTTTTGATATTCTTTTTCGGACCATGTGTTTCTACTTAAAAAAAAATTAGTATATCGTGTTTTTATTGTTTAGTGGTAGGCATTGCCGTGCCATAGTTTCAAAGCAATGTTTTATGACCTTACACTTCGTTCTGTTTGATTGTCCCTCTGATTCTCAGTTCCTGTAATCATCTCAGTTTACTTCATAGTTCAAGTATATCATAATGAATTCTTTTATTATCCTTGCAGATTAGATTTATCTAGGGACAACACTCTGTCGCTATCAGCAAACCATTTGCAAAAGTTGCGACTATCTTTCCAGCTAAGCACTCCTCTTTGTCAAAGCTTTAAACCACATCAGGTTTGTCTACCAACTCTTTACTTTTCAAGCTTTAAGTATTTATGTGTGATCTAATAAAGGGAATCTGGATGTAGGTGTTTCTCAAGTTGAGGCATGAGACCAAACTTGAGCATATCTTTATATTGGAGCACTCGTCAAAGCAATTCAAGATAGTACTGGTTAGGTTTCTATTCCTGTCACTTTACATCATTTCTTTCTTTTGAAGATTGTCTTGATATCTGTTAGGTCTCTACTTTTAGTATTATTTTATATTTATGTTGTGGTTTAGATTATTACAAACAGTTATAAGAACATATGGATCTTATTTTTGAATTTGCATCTCTACAAAGATTGGTAAATTACCTTTGTTGATGTATTATTTTGTAACGGGGTTTTTGTCTTGGTGCTAGACCTTAAGTAGATGAAGCATCCTGTCAGTTTTTCAGAAAGCAAACTAAAAAGTTAATGGTGCACAACGAATATAAAACTGTACTGTAATGTAAGAATCTATTCGAATTTTTATAGATACAAGTCAGTTATGCTATTGTGTAACATCCAATATTCCTCCGCTGCTCCATCCATCTGTGCGTAAAAATGCTTTTAATGTAATAGTAAATATTATGTCGGCAGAGTTTAATAAATTCATAGGAATGCCATGCAACTATTAGGACCATCAACTTATAGTGAGTAACACCGGAAAAAATGGAGCTGATATTTCATGAGACATAAATGATCATGTTTCTACTTGAGTCTCTAGTAGCTTCTTGAATATCTAGCTGAAACAGGTTATCTTGATCTTTTTCTTTATGTATATATCTAAACTTGCACATTAAAATGTGTTTCTAAGCTCCTCCTATTTCTTTTCTTCAAATTAAGATCTTATTCTTCATATTTAATTAGTTAATTTTGCTTACAGGAGTTTATTGGTCTGGAGGACAAATTCTTTTATACAGTAGGAAAACCTAAATTTTGGAATATTGGCACTAAAATTCCTTGATTTAATTTTGTATGAGTCATTGATTTCATCTAGAATTAAAGAAGATGCTTCTAGATATTTATTTAATTATATGTTTAAGATGCCTATATTTATTTTAATTATATGTTTAATATGCCATTGTTGCTTTTTCTGAAGCTTTATGCATGTCTTAAAAGCATATGCGCATAGTACAATATATTCATAGATTCCTAGCTTCTCCAAAATGCAGATCTTATTCTTTTCATGCTTACTTTTGCTTACAGGACTTTCTTGGCCTGGTGGAGAAGTTCTATTATCTTTCGGGTAAATATGATATTGAGCTCACAGTTGGTGATGTTGCAATGGTAATTCTTGGTCTTGTTTCCTTCCTTTTTCTGTTTTCTTTCAAGTTCATGACTTGCTAACTATAATAAACTGGCACAGGAAAATTCATTCTTGCGAGCCCTTGGTCATGTTGAGTTAGACTTGCCGGAGGCACCAGAAAAAGCAGCACAGCCACCTCGTCAACCTGTTGACCCTTTGTCAAGATACGGACCTAAGCAAGAAATATCACACATATTCAGATCACCTGACAAGAGACCACCTGTGGAGCTTTCTTATGCATTTCTGTTTCTTACCCTTTTGCCATTTATCGGATATCTCATTGGGGTGAGTCTTATCTTTTCTTATTTAGACAATGCATTCTAAAAACAGAGTAGTTAGAATGCAACCCAGGTGGGTATATCCAGTTTGAGCTATTTAACCTGATCTGACCCAATCTGGGCCAAGATGGTTTTAGAATTAGCAATCCAAGTGCTACCTTCCTTGAAGTTATTTCACAAATTTATACACAGGGAGGTTTTGACGAATATAGATTGGTACGTCTTGCATCTTTTATTCAGTTGGTAGAAATATATAGCTTGTGTTTTCTTGGTAATCCATATTCGTAACTAAATAAGCCTTTAAAGCTTCGAAGAAATCCCCTGACCTTCCTTTATGTATACACTTAATCTGAAACAAAACTTGGTGGCATGGGGAAGGACTCTCTCTATGAATGGAATTTTCACTTTCAACTGCATCCATTATATCATACAACTTTGTGTTTTAGTTTCCTTTTTTGCCCCTCAATCTTGAATTTTCATATGTCAGAATTAGGTTTTTTAAGTGTTCCGTGGTTCTAGTTGAGTGAAATTCAGTAAGCATCTAAGTTTTACCCTGCAGAAAAATTCACCAATAAAAATCCTCATGACTTTATATTGTGGCTTTATTTTACTGGGTCATAGTTTCCTTGCTTAAGAACTGAGTTTTAGTTTGGTCTTTAGTTCAAATTGAATGAAAATTTGCACTATCTAACCATGGGACTTGTTCTCTCATGTTAGTTGTACAGTTACCTCAGGTCAAGATCTGTCCAGATTGTTTAGAGCATTGTAATTTTGATAGTTGCCATTTATTTGTGTGATGTGCTCATATATTTTTTTGCGTGTATGTTTTTTCAGCTGGCAAGATTGGGAATAAACCTGAAGGGATTCCCTTCCTCGGCTTTACCTGCAACATTCGCCGTGCTCTTCCATTCTGGCATCGCTGCAATCCTTGTTCTCTACGCTCTATTCTGGTTGAAGGTACATTCCTATTGCTCACCTATCAACAAACAATTTAATTCCAATATTATTTCCCTACTAACAATTATTTCTGCCATGACAGTTCAACCTCTTCACAACATTGAAGGTTCTTGGATTCCTCGGTACATTTGTAGTCTTTGTAGGTCACAGGACCCTCTCTCATCTTGCATCTTCTTCTTCAAAACTGAAGTCCTCGTGAGATCGAAGCCGAAGAATCTTTCTCTGGAGGTTTATGCTTTAAATTTTGCAGGCTTTAAATTATAGCAAGGATATTTGTAGTGGTTTCAATCTTCATAGAAGAGTTATATAGACCTAAGTAGGATCAATGTCAGGTTTATTACTTATATTCTCAATTTACGTAGAGAAAAATGGAACAATCTACCTGTCTGTTTCTAAGAACTAACTTATGATGAAGTTGTATTATATTCAAATAGCGTAAACTCTTGCCAATTTAAGGACCCTTTGTCTGAAAATAATTAGTGAGATTTAGTTTATATGATACTAGGGTGCACCCTGTGCTTTTACCTCCATTTTATATTTCCTGCTACAGTAATTCTATATTCAAATACAGTTTTGTAAGTGCTACAGTAATTTTTAAATGCTACAGTACCGCCTGAACTACAATGATAATACTACAACAATGTTTTTAAATGTTACAGTTCCCCACCTGTTTGTGCTACAGCAATGGTCGCGAATTATTTAAAAAAAAAAATCTAATTCCTAGCTTTTTATAGGAAGTGCGTGGAAATTTTGACACGCTGAATTAAATTTAGTCCCTTCAGGTTTTCTACCTTGCTTTGTTTTTCAAGCACGAATTAAAGGGGTTCCTTTATTTTTTCAGGTCTAAATAAACAAAATTAAAAGAAGATCCCGCTCAAATTTCTACCTTCCTTTAAACTTTTCAGGTTCGAAATTTTGACACACTGAAATTTTCTACCTTTTGGGTTTGAGCCAAAACAAAAATTAAAAGAAAAATCTATTTTCACCCTATATTTTAGGTGGAAATAAAAAAAAAATTCATGGAAACCCGTGAAAAGGGGTTTTAGCACCATACTATTTACATATTTCAAATTTGCATATTTGCTAATTTATCTCAAACATTAGACTTCTATACAACTCTCATTAACACCTTCACAATTCATCAGGGTACCATGAAAAAAGGGTTAAGAAATCGACGTCACATTGAGATACATTATTAACTCACAAGCTATTTTTTTGATGAAGAAAGATCATTCCTAATATTATTTTTGTCTCAAGTTGAATGCTAGTGTTTCGTTCCTCACAAACTCATGCTCCTTAAAGTCCTTACGTGACTCTTTCCAAACTCTAAACTAACATAAATTATTCAAGGCGTCAAAGTGGACATGCTATTAATTTACTCCCAAAAGAGGACCAAGATTTAGTGCAGTATATGGATGAAAGCGACGAGAAAAGGACGCACGCTTCTTTCGGATAACTTTTTTTTTTTGAAAGGGATATACATGTATGCCACCTCCAATTCTATTAACAAAGTTCACTTTATTTGTCTCTTTTTAAATTTCCTTTTTACTCAATGTGGGTCTTTTGCTCTTAAAAAAATTATAGTGGAGCCTCTCCAATCTCATCCTAGTGTTTATATTTCAAAGAGAAGTGCTAACTAGATCATCTTTCCTTGTATCATCACTTTTTATTCGTTAGAGAAGAATAAGGATGTAACGAAGCGTTCACATTTGAGTTTAGAACACAACTTGTCAATATATGCTACTATTCATCATAAATCATATCATAAATTTTATCAATCGTATGATTAAATTAAATTGTGAGTTTTTCCTAAAAACCACCTTAAAAATGAGATAATTATATAAAAATCACCTTTCAATGTCAATTTAACATGAGCCACCTTTAAAATGGTTTGTGTTGCAATCAACTACCGCTCGGTCAAATTTTCACTAAAAAACCAATATAATCTTGAAAAATTTCTGTTCAGGGCACATGACTTGCATTCTGTTGGGGCGGAGTCACGCCCGTCGCCGCGGAAGCGATATCACCTGAGAGAGAGCCCTGGCTTTCGTTGTCACAAAAGCACAAGTCAACCTCTAAATTCTTGTTTCTCAAAGGAAACGAGAATAGATAATGAAATTCTTATTTCTCAAAGGAAACAAGAATCGAAAGTGATATATTTCATCAAAGTGAAATATACACTCTTCCTCTCATCAGTTCAAGGACTGAAATCTCGAGGGAACCTACAAGCTATGGCAACTCACAGATAAGACAAATACAAACACGAGATTTTTACGTGGTTCGGCAAACTAGCCTACGTCCACGGGAGGGGGTTTCACTATGGAGGAAAAATACCAAACTTATACAAGTTCTCTCTTCCTCTCTTTCTTTTCTCTCAAAAATACTCAACTTGAGATTTTTCTCACACCAACTCAACTCACAACCAACTCTATTTATAGAAAATGAAGGGGGAGGGAACTCAGGTAATTGGCGGGCACACAAGGCGGGAAACGAAGAAAGCGCGCGCGGGGAAAAAAATCGCGGGAAGCGGCGCGCGTGGGCAAGCACGGACGAAACACGCGGGCGCTGGGCTCGAAGCGGGAGCGGGCGTGAGCTGGGGCTGTCCATGACAGCGACGTGGGCTGCTTGCTTGCGCGCGCACGACAACGGAAGGGGAGTGGCGCCATCACGAGGCCACGAGCGTGGGCCCCCCTCCTCGTTCATACGATCACAATTCTCCACCTCGTACATCATTTGATAAACCTCAAATTTTGGACGATCACCAGAAGAACCCCTACGAACTCCACCAGAGAGATCCAGGCCAAAACCAGGCCAAACCAGCTGCGTCACTATACCGCGACTGCCTACGTACCCTCCACCGGGATCAAGCTAATCGTAGTTCAGCAATCATTCTCCAACATAGTCTCCACCTCACCTCCATTACTGCCCCGCAGGGCCATGCCCTCTTGGGCAAATCAACACGGGCTGATATGAAGCAAGTCCAAGCAATGCTGGAACTTGCTACCTATCACCACCTTGGTTAACATGTCTGCGGGATTCTCATTCGTATGCACCTTCATGAGAGAAATATCGCCTTCCTCTATGACATCCCGTACAAAATGATACCTGACATCGATATGCTTGGTACGAGCATGGTGAACTTGATTTTTCGCCAAGTGAATCGTACTCTGACTGTCGCACCACAAGTTCACGCTCTCCTGCTCAACCCCCAAATCGTTTAGAAGACCCCACAGCCACAATACTTCATTCACTCCCTCCGCCATAGCCATGTACTCGGCCTCTGTTGTAGAAAGTGCCACTGTAGTCTGCAACATCGATAGCCAACTAACTGGAGCTCCACGTATCCTGAATACATACCCAGTAGTAGATCGTCGTCTATCTAGATCGCCCGCATAATCTGAGTCCACATACCCGTCGACCTGACATGTATCTCTACCAAAACACAGACCCGTATCCGCGATACCTTTCAAGTACCTCAGGACCCATTTCACCGCTTCCCAGTGCGCCTTTCCCGGATTCGCCATGAATCTGCTGACCACACTAACCGCCTGTGAAATATCAGGGCGTGTACACACCATGACGTACATCAAACTGCCAACTGCACTAGCATAAGGAACACGCTCCATGTGTGCCTTATCTTCCGCTATAGTGGGAGATTGTTTACCTGAGAGTCTGAAGTGTGGAGCCAATGGAGTCACCACCGACTTTGCACTTTGCATCCCGAACCTCGCGATCACCCGCTCTATGTATCCCTTCTGACTCAAGAACAATCGCCGATTCGCCCGCTCTCTTCTAATCTCCATACCCAGTATTTTCTTTGCAGCGCCCATGTCCTTCATCTCGAACTCATTGCTAAGTTAAGATTTCAGCTTTTCTATCTCCACCTTGTTTTTCGATGCAATAAGCATGTCATCCACATACAACAAGAGATAGATATAATCAGTCATCCACATACAACAAGAGATAGATATAATCACCTCCACGAAGCTTCCGAATGTAAACACAACAATCGTAATCGCTTCGGGAAAATCCATGCTTTAGCATGAAGGAGTCAAATCGCTTGTACCACTGCCGAGGAGATTGCTTCAGTCCATAGAGTGACTTCCTCAAGCGACATACATGATGCTCCTTATCCTCAACCTTGTAACCCTCAGGTTGATGCATGTAGATCTCTTCATCCAAGTCTCCGTGCAAGAAGGCCGTTTTAACATCGAGTTGTTCCAGCTCAAGATCACCATGAGCAACAATACTCAATAGCACCCGAATAGAGGTGTGTTTCACCACCGGAGAAAATATCTCATTGTAATCCACACCCTCTCTTTGTGCAAACCCTTTAGCCACTAGCCTCGCCTTGTACCTTGTACCACCGAGCTCTGAAGGATCTTCCTTTCTCTTATACACCCACTTACAACCTATAGCTTTCTTTCCTACGGGCAATGGGACCACCTCCCATGTTTGGTTCTTTTGGAGAGATTCCATCTCCTCCTCCATCGCAGCCAACCAACTCTCACTATTCTTATCTCGAATAGCTTCCTTGAAGGAGACCGGCTCATCTTCCTCACCGAGAGTGCATACTCAACCAAATTAACATGCCCATAGTGCTTCAGGGGTTGGTCAGCCCCCAGCTTCTGTACCTGCTTGTATACTCGCCTTGGCCTAGTGGAAGCCAAGCTATCCTCGAGCTGTTGTTGTTGTAGTGCCTGTGTATTCTCCTGCCGAACCTCCTCCTGCTTAAGCTCATCATCTACCTGACTTTCCACTTGAATAACCTGGGACTTGGAAGTCCCAACAGTCTCAACACCACCATCCTTGGGCACCTTAACAATCATGGACTTCTCATCAAAGGTAACGTCTCTGCTGATCACGAACTTCGAATCTTCTGTACACCAAAGGCGGTAGCCTTTTACGCCCTTTGCATACCCCAAGAAAATTACCTTCTTGGCCCTCGCGTCAAGCTTTCCCTCGTTGACATGATAGTAGGCGGTACAACCGAAAATTCGGAGCCTCTCATAATATGCATGCTCCCCTGACCACACCCGATAGGGTGTGTCACCGTCCAATGTCGAATGTGGAGATCGATTCACAATATAGCAAGCTGTAGCAATCGACTCTGCCCACCATTCTTTGCCCAAACCAGCATATGATCGCATACTCACTGCTTTCTCCCGCAGTGTTCGGTTCAGTCTTTCCGCGACCCCATTTTACTGTGGTGTAGATCTAACTGTCCAGTGTCTAGTAATGCCCTCCTGATCACAGAACTCCTTGAAAGCACCGTCTGTATATTCTGTACCGTTATCAGATCTCAGTGTCTTCAATTTCTTGCCCGTCCTGTTCTCAACCATCGCCTTCCACTTCTTGAATGTCTCAAATACCTCATTCTTATGCTTCAGGAAATAAACCCAAGCATACCTCGAATGATCATCTATGAATGAGACAAAATATCTGGAACCACCCTTGGAAGTTGTCGAAGCCGGACCCCAAACATCCGTGTGCACATAATC